CCAAAAGTGCATTGATTTGCATGGCCTCCATTTTGATTAAATTCAATAAGAATTCATTGAGAATTTACAGTTTAAAGTAGACTCATAAAAGGGGACAAAACTTTCGAAACAATCAATACTACCACTCTTAGTATCATCGGTTTTCCTGGCTAACCCATTCCATTTCAATATACCTGTCTCTTGAAGGTATATCGAAGACTTTATTAAAAAAAAATGTTCTGAAAACAGACGATGTACGTTAATATAAAGTTAATATGAAGTGTGTAAAAGCCAAATGGAGTAAATTTATTATTTCGGTTACTGTACATATTTAAAAAAGAATACCGACACACGTCAAAGGTAAATTATAATTTGACATTCTTCAACGCAAAAATACCACCCCTACCCTCAACCCCCTCGAATGACTGATACAAACTCAATTCTTTTAAATGGAAAATATAGGTATTTGATATATCGTTTGAAAGGTATCTTCATTTTCTATTCAAAAATGTTTACAGCAACAAAAAAGATGAAATGAAATAAAGTCATGTGGTAATGAAATGTAGAATAAAAACAAACCTATTTATGTTAACGAAGAAGATGTTCAAAATGTTCACCGCGAACGTTTAGGCAATATCCTAATCTCAAATAAAACTGTCTTCTATCATTATTGACCTTATCGCAAGGGTTATTCGTTCTTTCAAGTCATTCAAATCTGAAGTTTTGTACAAATTGCTCTCCACATTGCTTCACAAACTTCTGATCGGGCTGGCAATAGAATCGATCTTTGTTTCCCTATCCACGGATTGGGACATGTATCGAGGTATTACCGGACATTACCTTGGTAATCTTGGTAATCGAAGTATGACTAACATTGAATGTAGTGGATGTCTGTCAACTCGATGTATGTGGGTTTTCCTCAAACTCAAGCATCACATCTAATTTGAGTTCATCACTCATTGCATTGGCAGCTGCTTTTTCTATCTGCCCCACATGACCAATCTCGCGAGACTTCTTCTCTATTTTGCTTATTGTTCCTTGAGATATGGGCGGTAAATTAGGAAATTTCTCATGAAACAGGCGAGCTACTTCCTGTTGTGTTCGGGTTTTATCTCCGTAACTAATCGTTTGTGAAGCTGTCATTTTATGCATTTCCTTTAATTTAACCATTTGTCAGACTTGAAGTTAATGAACTTTCAACTGAAAACTAATGTTGTAACATACAAAACAAGTTGACAGGGCGTTTTAAACTTACGTTGCCACAGAAACTATTCAGGGTTTTTCAAAGGATACCATATAGAAAGAACAGTGCTATGTTTTTTGAATCATTTGAAATAATCATTTTGATATAACTTTTGAGTATATTGCAATAAGGGTAGAGTGTATTTTATCGAATTTCGATAACAACATGGTTTTAATTTATTTTATCTTAATTGTTGTAATAAACTTGAAAGCAATAACATTCTTGAATAGAGAATGAAATGATCTTTCAAACGATATATCACAAACCTTTACTTCACATTTAAACAATTGGGGGTTGAATATTACTGGAGTTTTTTCTCAACACCAAATCGTTATTTTTACCACCTCGACACGTGTTTCGATCACCAAGTGATCATCTTCAAAGAGGAAGATTAAAACTAGAAACTAATGCGAAGCTAACCCTATTTATTCTATATAGGTATCCCATACAGGTGAACCATCCAGGGGTACCACCTATACAGGTATACCAATCTAAATTAATTTTACAATATTCCCTTATCCATTATTTTACAATATATCTTTATATAAAACAATTTTCAGCTATATAAAAATTAATTTCACAATATTGCCTATCTAAATTTAATTTTTGCAATGTGTCCCTATGTAGTAATCAGTAAACCCAACAATATTATTTTATTTTAGTATGCTCTTTGGTATAGGTTCGTCATCGTTATTCATAATATTATTGTGTTTACTTATTTCTACACTCTCATAGGCATCTAGTTGCCTGTTGTTGTTAACTTGTCTAACTAATCTTAATGAACTGAAGCCTATGCAATGGTTTTGTTGCAAAATATGATTGGCGACTGCTGATTTTTCAGGTCTTCCATATTTTAAGTGTGATATGCGTTCCTTATACAGTGTGTAACAACGAAAACTTAACAGAGCCGTTTTTGAATATAAAAAGTAAGATTTTCAAAAAAGCTCTGACACGTCGATTTCTAGGGGTGCGTCCGACGACCCTTATTTAGATAGGGAAAGTAGGTCGAGTGGCACCTTGTTTTGAAGGTCTTTTGAATACCTTTACACCTCTGTTAAAAGAAAATTTTGTAACGATTAGTTTTAGATATAATTTGAAGATTTAAAGGTATTTTTATTGAGTTCAACTCTTTTTAAAATAAATCAAATTGTTTCTAAGGTACAATTTACGTTCAGAACTTTCATAAAAATTTTTTTTTGCTTTTTATGACAACCTGCTAATACCATAATACCAACCTGCCATTTGATTTCGTAAAAAATTAAGAATTATTTGTTCATTACGAGGAGATTTTTTCGGGGGATGGGGTTGGTTACCACCCTTACATTTTAGGTAAATTGAGTGGCACCTTCTTATGAAGGTTGCCTTTTGTACGTGGATATTTTATGCTTCTGATAAAAAAGTGAATCATACTAAAAAATTACCTACATAACGAATACAACCTGCTGATTTTCTTGAATGCTGATGACACAGAAAAGTTTAAAAAACTGTTTTAGGGTTAATAAATCCCAATAATTGTTTTTAAAGCACACACAACAAAAAAAGTAACACCTAATAAGGGTAACTCACATAGGAAATTTGGAGTAAATGTTTAAAATGTGCGCCATTTTGCTCCATGTCCCAATGAAAATTTTGTTCGAATGCTTCTCTTACATTATTCAACATCTCAGGAGTTATAGCTCGGCATTCATCAATAATTCTACGACGTATTTCATCCAAAATGGCTGGCTGTGTAGCATAAACTTTATACTTTAAATATTTCCACAAAAAGTCCAGTGGTGTTAAATCTAGTGATCGTGCTGGCCATTCAATTGGACCACTTCTGCCAATCCATTGTCCTTCAAAATGATTATTCAAAAAATTTCGAATCTGCTGGGCATAATGGGGTGGTGCACTGTCTTGTTGAAAATGGATAAATTCATCTTGACATCTTGGATCCTGTTCAATTATTTCAACTATAAGAGCTTCTATTGCCTCTTCAAGAAGTTGTAAATAAGAATCACTGGTTAAATTTACATCAATGAAAAATGGACCTTTAATATGATTGCTCAATATTCCGGCCCAGACATTAACTTTTGGGGATGTTGGTTATGTATTTCTGCGTATTGTCTTGGGTTTTCATCCGACCAATAACGGCAATTGTGATGGTTCACGCAACCATTTGAATAAAATGAGCTTTCGTTCGAAAAATAGATGTTACAAAGCAGCTCGGGATTTTGCATCAATCTCTCACTCATGCCCTCACAAAACTCATGTCTTCGGTCAAAATCATCATTGAGTTCATAAACAAGTTTAATTTTGTAAGGATGAAATTTGTGGTTTTTGAGGATTCTCCATGCGCTCATATGGCTTATTCCGGCCATTGCTGATAAACCTCTGGTATTTAACCTGGAATTGGAGATGACTTGACCAATCACTCCAATCGCATTATCGTCATTCACTACCCTTCTCTGAACATTCCTTTTCTTATTTAAAACCGAACCTGTCTCCCTGAATTTTGTGACCAAATCCAGAACGTGATTTCTGCTTAGGTGTTTACCAGGGTTTTGCTCGTTAAATGAAATTGATGTTCTATTAGCATTTTGGTCGTTACCAAAAAATAAAGCAATAACTGGCATTTTTAAACAAATAACAATACACGACCCGTTTAAACAAAATAATCGAACGATGTACTAATGAAAACTGGAAGAAAAGGAGTGGGTATTGGTTTTAAAAAAGGGATTTTATTTACCAAAAAACTGATGAGAAGAACTGCTCGATTTTTTTTATTCAGGCATACAAGTTACCGAATGGTCTGTCTAATGTATTATTAACATGGCAATTTTAACTTCAAATTATCTCGAAAACTAATCGTTACAAAGTTTTCTTTTAACAGAGTTGTAAAGGTATTCGAAAGACCTTTAAAACAAGGTGACACTCGACCTACTTTCCCTATCTAAATAAGGGTCGTCGGACGCACCCCTCCTTTGGTGTTGGAGAAAAAATTCCAGTGATATTCATTACTACACCAAAGGTTCCAAACAGTGCATCTTAAATTGGGGATTGTACCTGTTATTCGACGGGGGTTGAAGATAGGGGTAGCATTTTCCTGTGAAGTATGTAAAATTATAATTCAAATTTGACGTGTTTTGTGATTTTGGTAAAATATGTACTGTAACCGAAATAATGAATTTATTTCATTAGGCTTTTACATACTGTATGTTTGACGCTGCCATTAATTCATTCCGTAGAAATAATGTTGGAAGATAACAACGAATTTCAGAAATTTTTCATGACAGTGATCACAATATTCGTCGTCCTGTATCTCCAAAACAAAAGGGGTGTATTGTTTATATTGTAGTAATTTTGAAATTGTTTAGTACCCAATGATGATTTGAATTATGTTCAACAGAATAATTTCTTGTATACCCGAACAGAATCAAGAAGCATTGTTTCTCAACACCGAATCAATTCCGGTCGACTACCATCGAATAAATTAACATACATATTACGAGCTACACTTTGCTATATGTTCCGACTCAATGCACATTTGGCGCCAAAAAACCACGGTAGGTTGATACTATGATCCAAAAAATGTATCGAGGTGTAGATAGTGCTGCATACAGACCTTGCTATTGTCGCAATGTACTTTCGTTCATGCTTTGTATACATAATCAGCCGGTAGGTACTAACTACACTGCATTTTTTGTTGTTTATAATTGTGGTGAACGTCCAGTGGTTAGGGATCTATCTATATAAGTCAGAAATATGGATCCCCTTGTCAGTATCGCATAGTATCTAGTACAGTAGTGCTCAATACAATACAAATATGTTCGCCAAGGTGTGTACAGTGTACATGGGTTTATTTGTAGAATTCCAGTGATTAGTGTCGATATTATTTTCAGATGATTGCATTTTTTCCTTGAAGAGCTGGTACTTTTTTTCTAATTGATTCATTTTATTTCTTTTGGAATAACCATACATACGCATGACAGTTTAAGTAACGATTCCGATTGTCCAATCTTCTTTTGGAAGTGTTACCTATATATAAATATCCATTATTGTATTTGGAAAAAACAGTCTGTTAATGATTCCAAAGTTAGTTATTGTTTGATTTTTTCTATTACATTGAAATATGAGGTGTGAAAGTTTTTAATATCCGACCTTTTGTTAACGCATTTTGTTCCATGTTTTGTTATTTCAATAATTTCGTTCAGAAGTCTTTTTTTTAGTATCGTCTAATACTGACTGACTTAAAATACAATACAAAAGTATGAAGGGGCGATTTGCAATGTTCTGCAAGGCTAGTAGGATTCTTGATTGTTTTTAGTGGGTTGTGTATATTTTTACAATCCCTGCTATGTTCAGTAATTCTTTGTTTGAGATACCTGCATGTTTGCCCCATATATATTTTCTCACATTCAGCACATGATATTTTATAGACAATATTGGATTTCAGGTCTTTTGGTGTTTTTTGTTTTTATTTTCGTGAATAAATGATTTTTAATAGTATTTTCAGATTTCATACTGATTTTAAAATTTTTATTTCCTAAAGCCTTGCAAAGTTCTGGTGTCAGACCTGCTACATACGGTAATTTGAAATATTTAATGTTCAACGGTGTTTTTTTTTGTTTATTTGCTCTGTTTGAATATACTATATTTTGATTAAAGATCTTGGATAGCAATTCTTAAGTAATAGAGTTTCTATAGGTTTTAGGTTCTGGTTTTCAAAATTCGCATGTGCTAAATGTGTAGCCCTGTATTTGAGATTGTTGATGATGTTTATTCAGAGTATGTTGGTTTATGGTACCAATCAGTTATAGTTTTGTTGTTAGATTTTATCAGCGAAACATCCAGAAAAGCAATTCTATTATTTTTTTCTTCTATCTACGTTTTATTTTTCTATGCACAAAACTATATCATCAACATATCTTTTGAAAAAAATCATCGAAAAATTACATTGACATTTATTTTGTAAGTCAGACATAACAATATCAGAGCAAATTGGTGATAAACAGTTTCCCATTCCTAGGCCGAAAATCTGTTTATAGAAAACTTCATTGAAATTAAAAAAGCTGTTACTCATTACGAACTGGACTAACTTCTGAAGGGATAGTAGTGTGTGGTTCTATAAAATGCCATTTATCATTAACGCCTGAATAGAGTTATGATTCTGAGTGGAATTAATTTTTATTTGCTGAAATCAACAACGATATATCAACTGGTTCCTGGTTTATGTTTGTACTGAATGTCTTCTGCTCAATCAGTATTGAATTCTCATTTAGATGAAAACAAATCTCATTGGAAGTAACGTTAGAATACTTATTGTCAAACATCTACACGAAATACTAATGGATCTGAATTCGTTTCTGGGCAATAGTAAGAACACTAGACACTTTTTGAAAGAGAATTCCGGGATACAATTTTTGGCAACCAAATGGGGAAACTTCAATCATCGAGGGTTTGAAGAAGTTTCACTTTTCAACGTGCCATATTTATAATTTTCAGATCGTTGCTTTATCTGCCCTTGTAGCCTGCAGTCAAGCAGGATTTATCGGTGGAGGACATGGAGGTTTGGGTTACGGAATAGCTGCTGCTCCCTTAGCAGTAGCACATGCCGCTCCCGTGGCCGTAGCACATGCAGCCCCTGTAGCGATCGCCGCCCCCGTACACCAAACTGTGGATTACTATGTACGTATGACTATTTTCCTTTCAAATGCATGAAATAACTAGAGAAATACAGATGATGTTTGTTATTTTGAAAAATGGCTTGGTGAGGCTTTCAAATGGTTTATTCTGAGAAAATGTTTTGGATATTGCTTAAGTTTTGTGCTTGAGAAACATATATGAATGATCTACACAATGTTGTTTTTTGAAAATGATCTGCTGAAACAGACAAAATGATCGACATCACACTGATAATAACCCGTTATCACTTTCATTGTCATAGAGATCTTTCAACCAGCAGAGTTTGTTATAAAATGTCAACAGTTTGGCAGTTCATGATTTAAAATTCAGAAATAACTCTTTCAACAAACTGAATTGAATGTTCACAAATTTCAAATTTCTTCGAAATGAAATAACTTGATTCATTCATATATCTTTCCAACAATTTCGACTGTGCTTTCTGAAGAATTTTTACTGCTGCTCGAAAATATTGCTTGTTTCTCTGAGTTTCTGGGAAAACAACTGGATTATTGGAATTGAAAGGGTATACTTTTGGAAGAGAATAACTTTCGGAAAAGAAAGTTTTTGACCTTCTACTTCTGCTTCTTTCGTGTATTCAATGTTTATATGAAAACAGCTGTTTCGAGAGAACTTTTTCTTCCAGTTTGTGTGTCTTTCCTTGAAAACTTCCCAAATTTTTTGTATCAAGATGAAGAAGTAGAAGGCCGAACACTTTAATAATTTCTCCTACAAATATACCCTTTCAATTTGAACGAGATTCCTATGGCTGGGATATATCAGATGAGCGAATGAATGTTATTTACATACTGTCATCGATGTGTCATCTAGCAGTGAGGATGACAGTGTTCCATGTAAGTGGAATTTCACTTCTTTCATCAATTATATTGTGTAGGAATCCTGTGATTGATGTCTGCTTCGATTCCACTACTAATGTTTGGAATATAAACGGAATTCAGCGTTCATATAAAAGAAATTGTTTCGGAAGGGCTTTTTCCTACAGTTTGTATCTTAAGGCCGAAAACTTCCTTTCCTAAAAATTAATTTCTCCTAAAAATTTACCCTTTCAATTTGAACGAGATTCTTATGCTGGGATATATCAGATGAGCAGTGAGGATGACAGTGTTCCATGTAAGTGAAATTTAACTTCTTCCATCAATTATATTGTGTAGGAATCCTGTGATTGATGTCTGATTCGATTCTACTACTAATATTTGGAATATAAACGGAACTCAGCGTTCATATAAAAGAAATTGTTTTGAAAGGGCTTTTTCTTACAGTTTGTGTCTGAAAGTTAATTCTTTGCATGATCTACACATCTTTGTATAGAGTTGATTTTTGAAATTGCCCGCTTCCTTTTTTTGGAAGATTACCATATTTTTTGTCTCAAAATGGAGGAGTAGTAGGCCAAAAATTTTCTTTTCTATCCCTCTCATCTTTCAATAACACACATCTCAACAATTCAGTATCCTGTACAAGTTTGTATAGGCCTTATCAGGGGGCTAGGTGTTAGTGGGAGAAATTAGAGGTTAGAACATCTACTGAAATAAAAGTTTCGAAATTTCCAAATCCAAAATAGGTAGAAGATTGTTATATATAATTTTTCCATTTCCCTTACATGATGATGCATTTTATTTTATATGCTAATATGAATATTCACTGTTACTGATGAAAGCTAGTAATTTCATAAGAAATGGCTTTCTAAAAGTCGCCTATATGCTTATGGCTTGTGTTGTTAAAAATTGTAATGAAATAATGTCGTATTCATTCGTATTTGCTGATATTCTATACTATTGAAATATATTATATTGGATTGTTTTAGAAGTTTTGTCCGTTTCTCAATGAATACTAATTCAATATAATCAAAATAGGCGCCATTTGAATTAGTGCACTTTTGCTAACGTAACACAATTCGAATAATTCCATCAGCACAAAAATTGTGTGCTCGAAATTCGATGAAATCGATGAAGGCCGTTTGCCTGGTCCTGATTGGCAAAAGTCCTACCGGTGATGAAGTTATCGAAGTACTTGAAAAGATTGTAGTTAGTTGGCGAGAGTTCTGGAGAGTATGGTGGTTGAAACGGTCAATATGTTCAATTTTCGAACGGTGATTTGAGAAACCTGTGGTCTCCATCAGGGTCTTCAAATCCCCGTCTTGAATTACTGTAATTACTGTTGGTCGATCACTTCGCGGCTTATCTTCGAGACGATAATCTCCTAAACGAAATTTCATTCCAATCAGTGCGTTCATTGATATTATTATTGCCTAATGCCTGAATAATTTTTCGGGCTGTTTCGGCAGCGCTTTGGCGAAAAATCGCTCATCATCATATAGTGATAAGCTGGAAACAGGCAGGAGATTTAAATTTGGAAGAAAATGAACATTATTCATGTATAGAGTACGAAATTCTTTAAAAAAACACTTGACATCAAAAGGGATAAAACTTTTGAACTAAATTGATGATTGTTTTTCTGGTCATTTAAGGACATATGCTTATGTTTAGTTAGACTGATCAGAACTATGTAGAAAATCATCAATTATTACTTGTACTTGTTGGTGAGCTGCTTGTTGCAGGACGAAGATTATCTTCAGAATACCCGAAATTGTGGTATTAATTCCACACTAATCCTCAATGAATATCTATATCTCACTGTTAAGTCAATATACAGTCACAATGCCATGAAATTTTCGAAATAAGTCAACTATGATCCATTCGAAGAGTGCTGTATATTATCAACTATTCATCATAATTGATATCAATTATCGATTTGATTAATTATACCCTTGTTGCTTCTATTTCACGTTTACTGGAGGCGAAATGAAGATTGCAATCGTCTCGAACAATTACTCATTCGTAATCGCGTTGTGAATTAAATCATACAAGTGGATCAGAGTTACGAAATGAATAACAACATTCGTAATTTACTGGAGAATACGTGAAATAATAACAATGTACCGAAGTGTTGCAATTTTACTGCAATGCATTTGACCAAGTTACTCTTTTAGTTTTCATTTTCTTCTGAATGACTTCATAACGATTATTACTAATATACTTATAGACTTTTTTAGGTCGAATTGTTATTGTTTTTCGAAGATATTTTCAATTCTGGAAATAGATTTGTTAGCATCGAAAATTAAAGTGAACAGTATCATCATAGTACTAGATAGGTTGGCCAAATTTAGTCCCTCATGAGAAGAAAAGAAAAAAAACAATTACGCTTGAGAAAGCTATTATACAGCAAAACACGTGTCGCGGTTTGAGTAAAACCCTTCATAGTGAAAATCATACAATAAACTGTATCAATGAGTAGACACTGAATTTCCAGTAGTATTATTGCATTGAAATGGATACATTATTGTCAAGGTTGTGCTTCTATATGTTCCATCATTATCTTTCCCTATCCGGTCAATATCATTTTCCTACGCCATTGCAAGAGACAGACTGAGACAAAATCATCAGTCATTTCTGAGAATTTAGTGTCAACTATTTTGGACTTTCGGTATAGAATACTATATAGTAGACTTCTAGCTATCAATGTCCATATATTTTGCTTCACAGAAAGTGGTTCTGATTTCTTGAACTGCCAAATATAATTTTCAGTTTAATTCATCTTCAAATATCATAAAGACATATTGAAATGAAACATCTTACAATACCTGCCAGTTGGACGTTTTCACAGTACTCCTACGTCACCTCGTACGAAAATTAACTGGTACTATGATAAGTCAACTACAGAACCGATAACCTCCGTCAAAAACTTGTCAAATGATCTTGAGCATTTTTCAATTTATCAATAATTTTATTTTTCAGGCATACCCCAAATACGAGTTCAACTACGGAGTTGCTGACGGCCACACTGGAGATCATAAATCCCAACACGAAGTGCGTGACGGAGACGTTGTCAAAGGTTCCTACTCAGTAGCAGAACCTGACGGTACTCTTCGTACCGTCCACTACACCGCCGATGACCACAACGGTTTCAACGCAGTTGTGTCTAGATCTGGACATGCCGTCCACCCACAAGTCATCACCAAGTCTGTCGCAGTCGCTCCCGTCGCAGTCAGTCTTGGTCATGGAGGTTTAGGTCTGGGTGGTCATGGTGGCTACNTTCAATAGTTGTTTCCGTTTTTATGAGTCTACTTTGAATTGTCAGTGAATACTCATTAAATTTATTGGAAATTGACGTCAAATGAACCAGTACCCTTTTTCCAATGCAATACAAGTCTATCGATTCCGTCTGCGTAAAAATTATGTGCTACGGATCCGATGGAGTTTACGAATGGCTTTTTTGTTCGATCTTCCAAATAACTATAGACCAGTCGCTTTGCTGTTAGTGATATCAAAATCATGGAGAAAGCCCTAAACCACCACACCCTCGAATATTTGGGAGGCTTCAACATCTTGAGCGATCATCAATATAACTTTGACAAACAAAGATCAACAGGCAACTTTCTATCGTATATCCCACATATTTGGAATGACGCAATCGAAAAACATGACTGTTGCCTTTGACATTTTTGGCCAAATTTCTATGCTATGGATTGTCGGCTAATTTTTGTGTATGGCTCTCCAGCTTCCCGAAAGAACGTTTCCTGCAAGTGGTCGTCGATGGATATATCTCGAACACTTCAAATATCAACGCAGGTGTTCCCCAAAAATCCAATATATTGCTTTGCTGGCGACAACACACTTGTCTCGTCATTCCATTTGGATTCAGAAACACCGACTGAAGATGCATATCTTCACCGGCAGCATGGGATTGCATATCTTAAAGACGATCTAGGTTCCATTTAATGCCACAAAAACGCAGGCATCGGTTTTCTTCAAGAAGATAAATGTTTCCGAACCGAACAGGTCAGATAATTCTGCTTTCTGCTTCGATGAGTTTGTTGAGGGTTAAAATGGACACCAATATGTCTTGGCACAATCATGTCGGTAAAGTTGCAAAGGCTGCTTCTCAAAAGCTTGGAACACTGTTCCGAATCAGAAAACTATACATACCTCAGCAACTTTTGATGCTTTATAAAGTTCAGATCAGACCTTCTTTGGAGTATTGTTCTCATATGATGCCGGGACCTGATGGTATATAACCAATAATGCTTCAAAAGGGACCGGAAGTACTTTTCAAAAAATTTTGTATACTTCTCAGGGCAAGCTTAGCACTGGGACACATATCAAAAATTTGGAGACTGATCAGGGCCACGTTCATTCCGAAATCTGGAAAAATCGGACGGGACTCGGCGAAGGCTTTGAGACCAATTAGTCTCATGTCATTTGCGTTGAAAACGCTAGTAAAACTACTTGACAGGCATATCACTGGCTATTAGACCATTAAATCGAGACCAATATGCATACAGGTCAGGTATGTCAACAGAAATGGCTCTATGTCGGGTAACAGAAAAAGTAGAATATACTTACCAAAATAAGGAAGTAGGTACTTTTAGCTGCTTTCTTGGACATAGAGGACGCATTTGATAACACGTCGTTAGAATCAATTATCGTGGCGTCGAGGAGAAGAGAGATCGACAAGACAAGCTGTAGGTAGATAGACTGCATGCTTAGGGGAAGATTGGTATATACAACCATTATGAAGAAACTGTCAACAGTTTCTTCTAAATTTACTCCACTACAGGCCAATAAGGTATCATCTGCAAATAAGTTGATGAACTCACAGTCTGTAAATAATTAAATATCATTCAGATATAGAATGAATAATAGGGGACCAAGCACACTACCTTGTGGCACTCCTCTTTTGTTATATATGATGAGAAATAACCGTTTACACTTACTCTCTGTTTCCTATTTGATAAATAATTACTTATCCATTCTGGAATTACCTAAAGTCATACTTTACTAACATTCCATTGATATGATGTATCCAAGTTTACATACATAATATTATACGTTGTGAGGAATACTTGAAATATTAAAAATAAAAAAAAAACATTTCGTCTAGAGCTGGAGAATTCATTATTCGTCAGTTTTATTCGGTACATTAACTTTAATACAAGTAACTATTTTCAAAATAATTATCGTCATAGAAAATGTATACGCGAGCATCATTACCAGAAGCCAGAAAAGAAGTAATGACTTGGCTGTCATCAACTCGAATATTTGTCTTCCTGTTCTTCCTTTCTTTACACTTTTGTCTTCTACTGCAGGTGCAACCGCAACCGCTTCCAGTTCACCACTCAATGCCCTTGCTACCAGGGTCGTTCCTTCCATGATGAAAGAAGCACGTTTTTGATATGTGAAGGTTGAGTGACACTGACATTGATTAAGAGTGATCGCGCGAAAGTAACAGTGACGGAGCTAGTTTTCCTGTCAAATTAGACTAAAAAATAAGAGTGAAGGTACAAAAACTTTCACTCAGCTCAAAATCAGGGGAAACACTGTCATAAATGAAATCTTAAGAATCCCCATCGATACGATACCCGGAAAAAGATGTACTCGAGGTCAAAGGTAACTAAACCGGGTTGTGCTCGGATTCATTTTATTCAGGTGATGTTCAATCTCCAATCAAAGGCGGGCCCATTGATCAGAAGTGAAGCAGATGTTTTGAACAAATTTGAGATGGAGAAAGAAATAACTACGTCTGTTGACATTATAAAACGACCTCAAACGGAAACCTCAAAAATTGCCTACTCGGGTTTTATAACACCACTCTCACAGGAGAGTCTTCTTCACCCACGCACCCACCACCCTTGACTATTAATGTTTCTTGATTGCGTTATTCCAAATATGGTTGACATACGATAGAAGGTTGCCTGTGGATCTTTGTTTCCGAAAGCCATATTAATGATCGCTCAAGATATTGAAGCCTTTCAATATATGGAATCACAGTTAAAAGGTAAGACCTCGTTAATCCTCAGCTCCCAAAAGTTTCGACTTCTGAGGGTTGTCGTTCTTAGGGTGCGACAGCTGGTTAACGGAAAACAGATTTTAACAGATTTTAAACAGATATGGCGGTTTATGGCTTTCTCTCTGATTTTTGATATAACCGATAGCAAAACGACTGGTCTATAATTATTTGGAAGAGTTTTCTTTCGTTTTTTGGAAATAGGCTGAACGCGAGCAATCTTCCAATAAGAAGGAAAAACTCCTTTCTTGTGGGACAGGTTGAAAAGTCTGCAAAATACTGATGTGAGTTCATTTGCTCACTTTTCAAGTACGATGACGGGCACTTCATCAAGACCAGACGCCTTGTTGATATTGAGCTGTTTCAAAAATTCGCCTGACAAGACGTTGTCGAAAAGTGATTTCCGGTATTGTGGATTCTAGTGTGAGAATAGTGGGTGGTGTCTTTCTCAGAAAATCGATTGTGGAGTGGAGCGCAAATTTTTCAGCTAGTAAATTTGCTTTTTCTATAGCTGTTATTGCAACTGAACCATATGCATGTGTTAGTGATGGAATTGTGGATTTTGTAAAGTGTTGATCAAAGGCTTCAGCTACCGACTAGAATAATCTAGACCCGTTGGAATTGACAAGCAGTGTTTCCATAATTCTCTGATTGCGATGGTCTTTGCTTTTGTTTATTCTGAGTTTACAGACAATCCTAGTTCGGTTTTCGGCACTGATATTTTTGAACCACTGCTGGTGGGCAAGATTTTTGAAAACGAAATCTTGCCCGCAATTTTTGTTGAACCATGGTTTGTCGTTAGAAGTTCGTTTCATTGAAAAAGGAATATATGCATCCATGAATGATAGATTAACTTCCGTGACTTCAGAAGCGCAAGTTGATGGATCATTAGAACTGAAACAAATATCTAGCCAGCTTTCCCATTCAGCGGACCTGTGATGCCAAACTTTACTCGACTTAGATTGTTCCCCAATATTCATCGGTAATTTACTTAAAATTGAAATGAGTTGTTGTCAGAAGATCTCAATGGAGAAACGACATTATACTGATTCAACTTTCTCTGTATACAACTAATGAGATGTATTTCAGATTATGGATGCAATACGAAGGCATTGTATAAGGTTTTCGATGTAGATGGATCCGAGAGTTCTCTGGAGATTCCATCAATGAATCCATACATTTTTTTTGCAGCAGACAGAGTGGTTTCAATGTGTCGTAAGAAGGATAGTTTTGTGTCGAAGGTAACACCTAGATCGGTGAATGTGAGAGGCTGTTGAAGTGGAATATCGTTTATTGAATAATGGTATGAAAATTGCGGATTTTTTAGTGTGCATGTCTTTACGTTACATTCACTCGCGTTTAAAGGAAGATTGTTGCAAAAACATCATAGCTCAACATGTTTCAGATTGAGATTAGAAAACAAGTTCACTCTTACCTACATAAGAAAATAACTTACCGTACCGATGGATATAATGTGAATATTCTAAATAAAGGCCTGCTGCCTGCAACCCCCTTTAGAACAAAATATTTTAGACGGTCATTTGGCTACCAAATCTATTCTCCGTGCAATCTGGTTCTGAATATCATATACAAATTCAGACAATTTCACAAAGAACATCTTCTTGAATCTCAAATTTTATAAAAATGATTTTTTTTCTTTATCACTATTTAGCGAAATATGTTCTTTTTTTCTTGTACATATAACTGTGTTTGCACAACAGAAAATAAAATTCGCCCTTTATTTCCATATTCATATATGGTTCATCTTTGATTTCTAATATTTATTGTATTCTTTTGAATGTGGAAATAATAAAGACGATTATTATTATTTTTTCACCGTAGTGTGCGCTGGTCAGGCCCTATCCCTCGAAGCCCCGATACATTCGGGAGGACGCGCCAGCATAATCAACCAATGACCACTCCCCACACCGTGGGGTAAGTGATCATTGGGTCCGAGAATCATGTGCCCTCAGCAAACGCAGTGAGCCAAGAATGACAGCCTTCTGCATCTGTGCGGCTAAGATTTCTGTATTTTGACTGTGTTTGTCACATATAGAATATGTTCATAACTTACATATTTCATTCTTCTGTAGAAGTTTGAATTCCATTAACAGTATTGGTGTATATGATTTACATCTTGCAAACAAAAAAATATTTGAAGAAGGCAGCGAAACTGAGTTGAGAGTTATATTACTGGTCAATTCAAATCAATAGCAATCGTTTCAATTGACATAACTGATAATTTCTCAATGGGATCCTTTTTGTAATTCACGAATCATTCTATTATCTATTCCAGCACTGCTATCGAAAGAGGCGTATTCTTCTCTGAAAATGTTGCTCATATGAATTTGCATGTCCTTAGTTAGGCTTTCATTCCCGAAAAGGCAATTTTTCTTTATCCAAGTGCACAGTATCAAGAGTATGACAGAAATGAAGAGGGTATATATGAGCATCAAGGCCAAAATCCAGAATACAAGCAAGGCTGAAATTCTCCTCATATGAAGCACATATTTTCCATTAATTTTGGTAGACGATTGGTGGTCGGTCAAAGATATATTTCGAAGTTTTTGTTTTCTTGGTGTGGTTGTTAGTATTTCTGGCATTTGTGAATTTGGATTTTTTTTATTTCCCAAAGATTTTCAGTTGAAATGGATATGCAGGGTGATGATGTCACTGAGATGGAATGACTTTTTGACTTGTCATGAATGAATATGTCAGTTTCTTTGCTCAGATTACGAATAGAGTAGCGCTGAACTCAAATTCAAAGATTATTAGACGGAATACTTGTTGAAATCGTCGGGAATATGGTAACCTTCAGGATTTTCATGAAATTTTGACAGACGGTTAAAAAGTCACCAAAAACGATAAAAATCGTAAAATGAAATCAAATGGACACGCAGGTTGTCATGAAAAGCAAAAATTAATTTTTATATGAAAGTTATGAACGTAAATTGTACCTTAAAAACAATTTGATTTATTTTGAAAAGAGTTGAACTCAATAAAAATACATTTAAATCTTCAAATTATTTCGAAAACTAATCGTTACAAAAATTTTCTTTTAACAGAGATGTGAAGGTATTCGAAAGACCATTCAAAACAAGGTGCCACTCAACCTACTTTCCCTATCTAAATAAGGGTCGTCGGACGCACCCCTCCGAGGGGGTGCGTACTACAAAAAATCTGAGTAGTCTGAAAGGTGTCCCCCTTTAATTAGAAATCGACGTGTCCGAGGTTTTTTTAAAAAAATCTTACTTTTTATATTCAAAAACGGCTCTGTTAAGTTTTCGTTGTTGCACACTGTATGTATACAAACATAAAGATAAATTCTTCAATAGAACAGATAATCAATATGACACTTGATTCAGAAATTTTCTTGTGCCTGCTGTGCTTAGAACTAACCTATACCAAAAAAGTCACTTATATAACTTTGTAATCACCTTGATGTCGCTCCAAATATTATTATTTTTAAATCCAGACTTGAAGCATTTCTCATTGAGAAGAACTTTTATAGTATTATTGAATTTATGACATAATACTATATTTAATGAAGATGTTTTCTTGTTGGCAATACATATGTTATATTTGTGCTGTTGTTTTTCAACTGACAGTTGTCATTCATACTATGACACTTTTGACCTTTTTCTAATATGTTCTTGTTGTGTCTATTTTAATTAAGTCGGTAGCTTCTATGAATTTTTCATATTTCTATATGATTATATATTTGACTTCTTTTATATTAATAACGTATGACTGTGTTCATATCACTCAAATTCATTTCTATATTAATTATGACGTTTTTTGTCAGTTACTGCTGAAATGTATTCATACATTTATGCTTTTTACTGAAAAATAAAGATTTATTATTATTACTATTATTAAATATGACTATATCACTTATATAAAAAAAATATTGGAAAATCTAATGTGCCATTTAAATGTGTGGAACAACCATCGAAGACGAAAAATATATCACTACACTTTCCACAATTTTCCAAAATTTTGCACCTCAACATCACTCAACTCTAATTCATAATTTACCTTAATAGACATGATGAACTGACGATCGTTAATCAAAGAATCACTAACTGGAATCCTAATAAAGTAGCTCCTTATATAGAAAAATAATATATCGCGAAACAATGATCGATATCGCAGTAGGAATATAATCGAAAGTATTGCTCAAATTTATAACCCCTTATTACAAAAGCACTTGCATAGTTTGGATTTCTCTCAATCATTAAAGTGTAACGCATTACGGGAATATCTTCAATTCTTGATACATCAGTACCGATTAAAAAACCATAATATATTATTATTATTACTCATAATTCGATTTATTAATTACCTTCGAGTATAAGAAACAATGGTGTTTGGAAATACATATTATCAAGCCAGGGTTGAGACAAAGCGATTTCATTATGTATTGTTGTTAACATGTTTCTTGGGTTATGGTTATTTCAGCGGTAACCTCTATAAGAAGATATTGGAAATGACCTGCGTATCTTCTGAAGACGTCAACTTTGTTAGTGAAAAGCACGTCGAGAATAGTGTTGCGGTTCTTTGTAGGTCATATTGATTTATGCATACTGTGAAATTTTCAGGTTGATCCATTGAATAGTTTGTCAGAAACGGCTAATTAACGCTCATCATGAAAAGCCCTGTATTGAACCAACTTTCGGTCAATCTACCTCTGTATAATACCAGAGAATTATATTCATTCCAAACAAATCAAAGTAAAATTTATTATTATTTGAACTCTCCCCTATATAGGTGTTGTAAATCCTACAACTCTATATTCAAATCAATAGAAATTGATTCTTGATTTTCTAATTCCCTCGCAACCTTCACCACGTTTCTCAAACGTTCATGCCATCAACATTTTCATATCTAACTATTGTAATTTGCACTGCACTTGATTATTAACTGTTCATAACATGATATCGCATATTATTTATAACAATCAAATCATTTATTGTTATTTGTAACTCATCATTTGTGAACACTCTTTCGGGGTTTGTCTCGTTTTGTATTCCACTAAAAAATAAATCAATAAATAAATACATTCCATGCACCGTTTGTGATTGTTCAATCTCTACCAGGATCATCAAATCCTCGTTCTGGATTATTGTAGGCGTCCACTTCGGGGCTCATATTCCAGGCCAAAATCTCCGTTCGCAAACCAATGTCAAACAGTGCGTTCATTAACACCAATCTTCCGATTGTAATGTTACTTTCCATGTAACGTCACAAACAGCACTCTGTTTCCATTCCAATTTATCAAATTCTTGGAAATGTATCAAGCATTACAATTCAAAAGTTGAACGGTTTTGTTCAGATTTGAGTTGGTTGTTTCCGATGAAACATAGAAATCAATATACGAAAATAAACAACAAACAATTTTATTGAAAGATCTTCAACATTTACTGAAATTGTGACAATATTTCTTTTACAATTCAGAAATTATATATTTCAAGTATATCGGTTCAGAATATCGTGTTATGCATAAACAAGGCTTCGTATGGCTATTTCTACTCATTTCAAAAGAAATGTCCACCATTAGTGATGACCTAGCGATCCAGTTTCGTAATACGTTCCAGAATGAATTATTTTTTCATGTGGATGAAGTGCATGTCCAGTTTTTTCGACGTTTGCGATAAATCCATGCTTATCATTCGCTATATATGTTACTGTACGGAATGTGCCGTCTGGTTCAGCAATCGAGTAACTTCCTGTGAAAAAAACAAATGGTGAAAAATAATACGAACATTTGTAATATCATTGCAGAAAATGGAAAGCTATAATTTTTGGTCAACAAAAATTGGGCATATTTTGTCATAACAGAATAATATAATGCTTAGGTTTTATTACTATAAAGACATTAACAAGAAGAATTTTGATGTCGAAAATAATAGTTATACGGTTTATTCATTAGAAGTTCACAAGTGCAGTCTTTGTCATCATTGCAATAGTTAAGAAGTTGAAGAATCTTGTAACTGAAATATACTGAGTGAAAAAGAAAGGTAAACACCCATTTATATTGGAAATATTTCAATACTGTTTTATATGTGTACTTATGTTGAGGCAGTAAAAAACTAGTAAAATTTCATCCCTATCGGAAGCTATCCTGACCAGTTTTTTAACTGTCTCTTTTTGTGTGAGCGTTTACCATTTCTCCAATTTTTATTCTCATTTGTGCTTCAACTGTTGAAGAGTTTGTGGTAAAGTGTTTCGTATTGTTAACATTATACCACAAGTGCAAAGAATTCTTCGTATTTCTCAACTTAGTGATTTTGAGAGAGGACGAATTGTTGGCCTTCGTGAGGCTGGTTTTTCAATTAGAGAAATTTCAAGAAGGCATAGACCCAACAAGGACAAGAACACATAGCTAGGGGCGCCTGTCGTCGCAGGGGAAGAACAGTGCATGATGATTGCTGATTAAGTGATTTGAAGAACACGGAAGGGTCGTTGGAATGCGCAAGAAGTTTCAGACTTTTTCTTTATCGTTCCCATTGGTTGTTGCCACTGACTCTCGAGTATCGACGCAACGAATTGCACTGGAGACAGAAGAAATTGGGATCAACAGTGGAACCGCGTATTCTCCAGTAATAAATCTCGCTTTTGTTTGGGTATGCACGATGGACGAGCAAGAGTAAGTGAGTGGAGAGGCATGTTCACCATACTGTTGGTTTAATGATATGGAGTGCAATTGCATATAGCAGGACACCTTTAGGCTTCATTAGAGGCAATATAACAGCTCTTCGTTACATTCACTAAGTAGTGGAGCCTCAAGTCCTTCCATATCTTGAGACCATTGAGAACCTCATATTTCAACAAGACATGTGTGGGATATTCTTGGTCGCAAACTGCTGAATTTACAACAGCTTCCACAGACTTTGGCAGCACATGAGTTAGACATGAGTTAGATATGAGTTAGAAATAGGGTGGAATGATATATCCCAACTGGATACAGACCGCCTTATCAGGTCAATACTCAGATGTATCCACGAGTGTATAATACATCGAGGAGCTGCAATACACTACACAATGAAAATGATAAATAAATTGCATGAATTGGACTTCGAATTGCTTCCGAATCCACCTTCCCTCCAGATTTAGTCCCTATCGACTTTATCCTGTTCTCAAGAGAATGCTTGCTGGAAAGAAGTCGAATCGTACTATAAAAATGGTAACAGAAAATTATGTGACCACTATAATTGATGTATCGCCTCGAAGACAACCATATTGGATAACTAACCGTATGGATGTTATACATTGTGTCAATGTGAATTGAGCAGAGTAGTCTCTTCCTGATGCCATGAAGTCGTGATGTTAAGGAACAGATGAGTATTTCCTCTTGTAGAAATATACAAAATAGTGTTGAATGGGTTATAAAAATACGTCGTTTTTCAAAGCAGAAAACTTGGTTGTTTTTCAATTGAAGATACGTTCGAAGAAAGCATTGTATGGCGAAATACGTGTTGCGTTTTTGTAAAACTGTTCAGTGAAAATCTCACAATGAAGTGTTTTTTGAATACGTTCCAAGTGAATGAAATTTTCATTTCAAGACTCTTCATGCATTGAGTTGTGTAGGAAGTCGATGAAGTGTACGGAAAATTTGAGCAGCAGCCAGCACAAACAGAGAGGTCTGATTTGACGAAACGGCAACGCCCATCCGCACGCTTCACAAATCACTGTCCAAAAATTGAACTAATTGAGCGTCAAACTTCTGTCCCAACCACCATACTACCCAGACCTCTCGCCAACCGACCTTTTATACATTTCGATAATTTTCTCACCGGTAGAACCAATCAGGACCAAGCCAAGAAGGTCTTCGTTGACTTTGTCGAATCCTGAGCACCTAATTTTTATACTGAAGGAGTCAATAGACTTTTGTTACGTTGGCAAAAGTGCACTGATCCAAATGGCGCTCATTTCGATCGAATTAAATATTTATTCATTGAAACGATAGGCTACCTTTTATGTTTCTGGATTTGGCAACCCCAGTGTTGCAATCTGGCAACTGACAGTTCTATCGTAAAGTTGCTTAGACATACTAAGAACGTTTTGACATACGCGCTATTTGTGTTGTTTACAGTAACTTAAAGATTCATCCCGGCCCAAAAATGGAATTGAATCGTGAACATTCTCGTGAGATTATTTTTTACAGCTTTCGAGGTGGATTAACTCAGCAACAGTGCATGGATGAACTTAATTCAATTTTTGGCGATGAAACCTCATCAAGGACCAGTGTTTATCGATGGTATGGTGAATTCAATCGTGGTCGTAGTTCAGTCCAAGATGAATTTCGTGAAGGTCGTCCAAAATCAGTTGTTGTTCCGATAACCATTGATGTTGTGTGCGAATTGATATTGCAAGATCGTCATGTGACCTATCGTGAGATTGAGACAACCTTAGGCATGAGTGGGACCAGCATATATGCAATTTTGCATAAAATATTTGATTGTCAAAAAAATTTGTTCGCGTTGGATCCCACACAATTTGTCAATCGCTCAAAAAAAGGCTTGTGTTGATTGGTCGAAGGAAATGCTCAAAAAATATGATTGCGGTGCTTTAAAACACGTCTATGGCATTGTGACAGGTGATGAATCGTGGATTTACGTGTATGATCCCGAGAGTAAACAGCAGTCGACTGTATGGGTGTTTCAAGAAGAACCAAATCCAACAAAAGTTGCTCACGTACGAAGTACTTCCAAGCAAATGGCCGCCTGTTGTCGCATGTCGCAACCGTACCACTAGAACAACGCAGAACACTCAATTCTGAGTGGTACACAACCATTTGTTTGCTAGTTGTCTCCCAAGAAATCAGAAAAACCAACCTCCGAAGACGGATCATTCTTCATCACGACAATCCGAGCTCTCACACATCGGCTCAAACAACTGCATTTTTAGCACCCAAAACATCGATTTGATGAGTCATCCACCGTATAGTACTGACTTGACACCAAATGACTTCTTTTTATTCCCGCACGTGAAAAACAAACTGAGAGATCAACGTTTTTCGACACCTGAAGAAGCGGTTGCTGCATTCAGAATGCATGTTTTGGAGATACCTCAATCAGAGTGGCAGAACTGCTTCGACAATTGGTTCAAACGCATGCAAAAGTGTATAGATCTTCATGGGGAATATTTTGAAAAACAATATTGTTCACTATTGTTCCCGAAATATAAAAGGAAACCCTTGTATATTACAGTTTGAAGTGGACTCATAAAAATGAACAAAACAACCCGAACTCATTCTGAACTATATTCATGTGTAAGACGATTCACTGATGTTTCATTCTAGATTTGTGATTATTCAATACTTTGATTGGAAGTGAACAAATAATTCTCAATCGATTACCTTTTACTGTATCACCATCTCTTTCTTCATATTGTGATTTGTTGTCTCCTGTGAAGGGGTCATTAACTCCGTAGTTGAATTTGTACTTGGGGTAAGCGTAATAATCTATGTATGATGACTTCACGGGATATTGTAGTGGAAATTGAATGCCAGCTTGAGACAGTGCTACGTAGCACAAAATGATGAAAATCTGCAGATCAAAATACTTACTGTTTGAGAATCCTCAACACATCTCTTATAACAAAAAAA